AAAGAGGGAGGAAAGGGAAAGACACTAGACAGGTAGGGCAGTAGGTGGAGGAAGGCAATACTGCCCTAGAAAGGGCCATGGGTCTCAAGAGGAAGATATATCACATCTTGAAAATCCAAGAAATTTCATGGAGTGACGTTTGAGAGTGATCTTTGAAAATTAATGCTGCTACTGCTGTTGATGTTGACGATGACAATGATTATGATAACTAAGTAATATTAGTTATTAGCACTAATATTAGCACATACTATGTTCCAGATTCTGGGTTAAGCACTCTTTTTAGTGTTTGCATTATATCAATGCTCATAAGAAGCCTTCAGCATAAGGATTAGTGTTTCCATTTTACACTGTAAAATGTATTTGCCCAAGGTCACTTAATAAGTGGTAGAACTAGGATTTGAACCAGTAGGATGAGGTTAAGAGGCTCCAAAGTGATGGGGATATCATGTACAAATGGCCAGAGTTGTTTGGAAAGAATATGTGCTGTGGGGCCTGGCTGAAGCAGAGCCACGTTCAAGGGATGGGAAGTGAGAGGCAAAAAAGGTAGGTACTAGATTGTGCAGGACTTGAAGATCAGAACAAGGACTCTGATTGGCTTAACAAGGCCACGGGGAACCATTGCAGGTATGTTTGAATGAGATCTGCCCTTTAGGAAGATTAATTGGATAACCATACAGAGGATGGATGAGAACAGGGAGAGAGACAGTTAGAGGTTATGTGCAAATCCAGAGCCTCTAGGCCTTGAACCAAAGCATTAGCAGCAATAGGAAAGAGGAGGGTAAGGATGCTGGAAGCATTGCAAAGCTACAGTCTCTGGGTCTACACCCCAGTTGTACTCACCAAGCCCTGGTGTGATTTGCTGTGCAATGTCTACCCTCCCCAAACAACTGAATATTGTAAGATAAAGCACTGGGACGCCCTCATTCTCTTCCATAGTCCTAGCATCCAAAACAGGATGTGGCAGAGTAGATACTCAAAGTATTCAGTATGAGTAAGTGAGTGAATGAACCGATGACTGACTCTGGCATCTTCAGTTAAAGCAATCGGAACAAAGAATGCTGGAGGAAAAAGATGGTTGGGTGGAGGAGGCAAGAATGAGATTGATTTCTGGACAGATTGAATTGGAGATGACACATATAATAACATGCAGTAGGGAGTTAAATGTGCAGGTTTGGGAAAGAAAGATAAAAATCAGTGATAGATGAGACTCCCATGGAGACAGTGGGGAGAGGAGGTATAGTGGGGAGGAGAAGAAGAGAATTTGCTTCGAGAATGTCTATATAAAGGAAAGGAAAGAAGCCAGCAAATTTGAGAAAGACTCATGTGAGAAGTAGAGTGAAGACAGCAAGAGCACTGTCGTAGAATTCAGGAGAAGACTGAAAAAAGTTGGAATGTAGTCATCATTAGCATCTGATGCTATGGAGGGAAGGTGGAGGAGGGCTTTGAAAACACTCCTGCTCTGGCCTTTCGGGAGCTTCTTGGCCACTCTGGTTAGGGCAGCTGGACTGATGCAGAATGGCAGATCTCTGGACTCACGGAGGGGTAGGGCTTGAGCAGAAGGTGAAGAAGTAGAGACCCCAAGTTCAGACCCCTTCATCAAAATGTTAGAGGGCAGAGATCAAGGAAAACTCAGGGTTCAAGGAGGGAGTTGGAGAAGGAGAGAATAATTTGGAGAGGAGATTGAAGATGTAAGGAACAGGAACAGATGGATGGACCAAGGAGGGAAGGTATAAAGAGAGAAAACCCAGAGCACAAGCAAATGGATTGGCCTCAGCCAGAGGAGGAGACTCTGGGAATTAGGAGAAGGGAGGTTGCAAGAGCTCACAATAGCTGAAGATTCATCATTTTGGTAACTGCCACAATTTACTGAGCGCTTCATTGCCAAACACATCCTGCAGGTTATTTTTAACCCTTCAAAGTGGTAGTATAATCTTCATTTTTTAATGAAGACCTAGTATCCAAGAAATGAGATGAGTTCCTATCACACAGTTAGAAATGGAAGACTTGGGGTCTGAGTCAGTGAGCCTGACCTCAGAGCTGATATCCCTTGGCTGCCACAAGATGTGAGAGGAAAGTTACCTGCTGAGAGGGAGGGGTCAGGAAAAGGTTGGGCCTTAAAAACTGGAAAGTTGGTTAGGGGAGTCTCAACAGAATAAACAAGAGATTGCCTAATTCAGAGGGCCACACTGGGATTGGGTGGTGGGTTTTGAGGAAGACCCAAGAAGATGGCCCAAGTAATCCCAGAAGGCTAAGTAGCAGCCACCTTGAGTACTAAAGACATAAGCATTGAAAAGACTCAATCCTTGAGTAAACATGCTTTGCAAATTCAGTGTTTGCTGAATGAATGCATGAAAGCAGAGGTATCTGGAAAAAGAGATGGTTTGATGATGGATAGCATGGTGAACTTGAATAGTGCCCTTAAAACACCCAGAGGGAGGTGTCCATGAGGTGTCCTTATTCATCACCTATTTCCCTACACACCTATGCACACACACACACATACACACCCCTCAGAATGTAATCTGCACGAAGGCAGGCTTTGTATCTTTTGTTCACTGTTATATCCCCAATGCTTACCATATCAACTGGCACATAGTAGAGGCTCAGCTAATGCTGGTTACATGAACAAAAATGGCAATCTAGAGCCCTGATAAGAAAGAGGTCTAGGTGCCATCAGTGCCAGTGGTCATTAAAGCCCCCCAGAGGGGATGTGTTCTCCCAGAGAAAGGCTAAAAATGAAGGGAAAAAAAGAGAGAGAGAGAGAGAGGTTGAGGTCAGAGTCCTGGAGAACAAGTTTATATAAGGACAGAAGGAAAAAGAGGAGTTGGTAAAAGAAAAAGAGCAAGGAGGAGGGAAGGGAGGAGCAGTGGGAGATGAAAAGGAGAAAGATCTAAGGCACAGAGTCAGGGCAGGGAGGGGTGTGGAGGTAGAGAGGAGAGGGGATTGAAGGTACATTGGGGAGGTCAGCAATTCAAATGCAGCAGGATGGCTCTAGCACAGAAGCAAAGGAAAAGGGACTGGAGGATCCTCTGTTCCCGAAGAGAATTGCCAGAGACACACAACAAGTTGGGAATGAGGCTGAAACTAAAGCCCAGGTGTCCTGCCTACCAACCTGAAACATCTCAAATTAGAGTCCTGCATCTTCCACCACCACCTGGTAATTCCTTGAGCTCCATGAAACACTGAGTAGAACTCAAGTGTTCCTGACATCACTTCATTATTACACTGTTCTTTTCCTGTTCTTACAAATGAAGTCGTTTCTCAAGGCCCTAAAGTCCATCGAAAACATTTTGACTGAGCTGAGCAAACTCCAAACTCAGATTTCTGGGTCAAGGTGGGTTCACTTACATTTCCTGGAAAGCATATTCCTTTTTTTGGCTTAAATGCAGTCCCCACAAATATAGTGTCTGCAGTGGCTGACATTTTATGGGCTCCAGCTACACCCCAGGCATTTGACCAGGATTCTCTTTTCTCTTTCAGACATCAGTACAAAGGCAGCCTTAATACTCCTCTGTCTTTCAGGGAACAAACTGAAGCTTTCCCAGGGAATCATAGCAGTGTTATAGCTAGGATTCTGAACCAATTGTGTTTGATGGATACCAAAGTCCCTAGGGATTTTTTTTCCTACTGTATCATGATATTCCCTTCCCAAAACAACCTATCAGGTGATTTGATCAAGTAGATAAGCTCTTGGGCCCTCTGGTATGAAAAAACTCCAGTCTGCTAATATGATTTCTCATTCTGAAGGAAATGAGAAAGATCCATCAATGACTAACCAATGACTTTGAACCCAACCTGGCTATAACATGCAGCCTGATTTCTCTGTTACCGTTTTCCAGGACTCTTTTTCCTCCTAAGAAACCCTAAAGCCCCCAAGGCTGTGTGAGATAAAAAGGTCTTGGGGAATAGACTGGCCTTAATTAATCATAAAGCCACATCACACTTTGGATAGCTCATCCATATCTCCATCCACACCTGAAAAGAGAATTTAGTAGCTTTGTCTGTTAAAGAGTCCCTGAAACTGTGGTTAAAAGAAAAAGACTATCTCTGAGTTAGAGCACTGGGGTTCATCTCAGGAATGTGGGGGGCATATGGTAAGAAGGAAGCCAAGGGTGAAGCGTTCAAGTCCTTTTCCCACACCGACCCTTGGAATAGTTCCACTTTTACATAATTTGCATATTGCAATTCCCATTAAGATTTTATTTGGAGAAAATCTTTAAAGGCAAAAAGAAAAAACAGTAAAAAATAATAATAAAAATGAAAGTTGGTGATTTAGGGAGAAGGGAAGAAGGACTAACATTAGCAGAATGCCTACAAGGCCCATGCTAGGTACTTTAAAGGCCCTAAGCCCCAAGAAGATTATAATGTCTCCAATGCCTTCGTGTGTAATTCAAACTAAAAATCAATATTAAGCTACAAAATATAAAAAACTTGCATGCTGCAATAAAAAATAACTTTTTTTTTCCATTTGTCTAATTTCCAAAGTCTGGGCATATTCATCCAAGCCAGCTGTCCCCATTTTTCCATGCCCCTCTGATTTGCTGGGGCCATAAGCACATGCTCATTTATTTTTATGGGTTGATCCAATGGCCTGGGCTGGATTCTCTCCAATCTCCACAGTAACCTGAGAAAGAAAACATTGCCATTTCTGTCTCACAGAAGAGCAAACTGGGGGCTTAAGGAAGCTAAGTAACTTGCTGAATGTCACGTAAGGAGGCATGAAAATGCACCCTGCACCAAATTCCAAGTTCGTTCCAGTATTCCTGGTTTCAATCAAATTAGAACAACATGGTAAAGATGATGGCTTTAAAATAGGAAGCAGAAGATTTCTCGGGAAATTGCCCCTTTCCACCTCCTCTCCCTTCCTACCAGGACATTGCCTTGGCCTAAGACCAGTGGGTGCTCAAGTGTGAACAAGGGTAAAGTTGCCTTATGTCAAAGTCCACCCCACTGCCTGGGCAGAGGCCTCTCCCATCTGACTCCCAGTTTCTCTCTTGCAGGTTGAAACATCTCCCCAAGCCAGGCCAGGCAAGGGCTCTGCATGCGAATTCAGCCCTTGGCTAGGGCACATTAACCAGAGCCGGCAGCATGGACTTCGTCATGAAGCAGGCCCTCGGAGGTGAGTCCCGCTTCACCTTCCCTGACCCACAGCACATTCCTGAACTGGTCCTGGCCCAAAAGGGAGGGGACCTCAACTCACTTGGCCCCTCTCTCCTCAACCCTGTCTCCCAATCTACCACATCTCTTCTCTTCCCACCCCCTTACAGGGGCCACCAAGGACATGGGGAAGATGCTGGGGGGAGAGGAGGAAAAGGACCCCGATGCACAAAAGAAGGAGGAGGAGCGGCAGGAGGCGCTGAGGCAGCAGGAGGAAGAGCGCAAGGCCAAACATGCGCGCATGGAGGCTGAGCGCGAGAAGGTCCGGCAGCAGATTCGCGACAAGGTCAGCACCACCTGGAAGGGTGGAGGACAGAGAGGGCAATAGGGCTCCAACCTCCAGTTCCCCTCAATCCTGTGCTTTCATCTTAGATCTTGTTCTTCCCTGAGCCTCACTCTTCTCATCAGAAAAAAATGGGTGTCAAAGGGATGCCTCCTTCAATGAATCATTATGGAGATTAGATAAGATAATGCACATAGCAAGTGCGACAGGCCCACAATATCTTATGCAAGACACTCCGAGTCAAAACTGCGTGGAGTTGAGAATTTGTAGATATTAGAGAAAATACTATAGTACCCTGAACACCTGACAGTGTTGTTAGGTAGCACTTCCGGTGAATCTGGGTCTGTGTGCCAAACAGTCAGGTGCCTGTCTGGGAGCACCACACAACAAATCAAGACTATAAGTAATCTTCCTTGGTTCAAGCTTGGTGTTGTCACTGAAATTTAGCTCCAAACATACAGGAAAACTTTTCAGTGTTTAGATCTTTGGGGATTTCAAAAGAGCAAGAATTTATTATCTGTAGGTCTAAATTATAAAGGGAAGCCCAAACACAGTCTCTCTTTTATTAATTATCTACACTCTGAAGACCAGGCACAGTCCTACAGAGAAAGCACCCTTAGCCCCACTTTATAGATAAGGAGATTGAGGCTTAGGAGTGCTCATGAGCATGTCAACCTATCTGCATGACTTGGAGATTCAGCTCTCTCCTGTGTCCTGCCCACCTTCCTCATACTCCTTTCTGCCCTTCTTCCCAGTATGGGCTGAAGAAGAAGGAGGAGAAAGAGGCAGAGGAGAAGGCAGCCCTCGAACAGCCCTGTGAGGGGAGCCTGACCCGGCCCAAGAAGGCTATCCCTGCAGGCTGCGGGGATGAGGACGAGGAGGAAGAAGAGAGCATCCTGGACACGGTGCTCAAATACCTGCCTGGGCCACTGCAAGACATGTTCAAGAAGTAACCAGCCCTCCTGCCCCATTCCCTCTCCACTTGTTACTTTTTTATTTTAATTTATTTTGTTCTTTCTTTTCTTTTTATTCAGTTAAGTCTCAATTCTGAAGGGGAAAACCTCAGTTGGCCTCTGCCCCCCTTCCCTGGCCAGGGGCTCCTCCCCCTCAGCCCTCCCTTACACCCTCCTCCATCCCCGGGTAGCCATTCCCATTCCACTCCCAAGCAGCTTGAAAAAAAAAAAAAAAAAAAAAGGATTGACAGCTTTTCTCCAGCAGGGGGCGTTGAACCCAGGGCGAAAGGCACTGGGTGGCCCCCTCTGGAAGCCTAAGTTCTATGTTAGTGTGGTAACCCCCATACATTCCTTCGTGCTCCCCACTGCCAGGAGGACCACTGTCCCCAGCCAGCCAAAGTAATGACACATTCCAGCCCTGCCCAGCATGCTGATCTTTGGCTTCTGATACCTCAGTGGGCCTCATGGTCAGGGCAGGGGCACTGAGTGGCCTAGCTCTGAGGAAGGGAATCAGGGTAAGCCTGTTCCATAAGGTCCTAGCCTGAGAGGGCTTGGGTCTGGCCAGGCCAGGGTCTGGGCAGGAGGTTGAGACTCTTCTCCTCTCTTCCTGGTGACACCCAGCCCAGGAGCACACCCTTCCCCAAACCCCTCCCGGAGAGGCATGGCCCCTGCCAAGTTGGTCCCTCTAAACAGATCCTCTTTGAACTTCAGCACATCTGTAGAGGACCCCCAGGGTAGGGCAACCCCTTTTCCCCTCACCCCACTTAGGTCCTGGGACCCCACTGCCAGGCTGGACCCAGCTTGCCCAGCCAAGGGGCTGCCCAGGCCCACAGAAAACACTTGGAGCCATTGGGCAGTGATGGTCTATGCCATGGGACCCCCCCCCCATTGGTGTGGCCAAGCTGCCCCCATTCCTATCCATCCCTCTTCCCCATTTTGTCCTGTCCATGTGCTTCCAGGGCCCCATGGTCCCCAGGAGGACCCTTCCCGGCCAAAGCCCCAAGCCACTGGGGAGAAGCCAATTCCCACTTGACAGAAGGCATCTATCTGTCCATTCATCCTATTGGCCAAGAACAAACTCTTCTCTGGGATGTATGGGACTGGCATTTGTCCCCCAACTACCCCCTCCCGGATTTTCAAGGCTTCCCATTCAGTCAGTTGTATGAGAATGGGTTGAGAGAGGAGGGGGGAAAGCAAATGAGGGAGGAAAGTGTGAGTCCATTGTGATACTGCGTGGCTGAGACTGCAGCAGCAATCGTGTGTCCGGAGACTTTAGCATATATGTACAGTTAGAGTGAGGTGAGTCTTGAGAATGCGTGTGTGTTGGTTATCAAATCTCTGTTTTAGAGATTGTCTGTTAGGCAGCCTTGTGTATGCGTGCTTGTTTGAGGTGATATATTTGAGTCACGATTATGTCCTAAGTGTGTGATAACCATCTCATGTGTTTAAGATTGCATGTGTTAGCTTGAATATGCATGAGTTTTCAAAATGGCACGTGTGTCCAGAGTGATAGATTCATGGTTAATGTAGAAGTGTGTGTTTGAGAGAAGTGTCAGACGTAGTAAGACTATTGTGCACATGTGTAGGGGTCTGAAAAGGCAGTTGTGTGCATGGATGTGTGCTTGGAGAGAAGGAATGTGGGGAAGACACCCCCTCCAAGCCTGAGACCCTTGGTCACAGATGGCTACATCCAACAGGAGACTTTGTCCTTGGCCTAGAGTCCTCTCACCCTTGGAGGGTTCCTGTCTGAGGTTCCCAGAATTCCACTGGGACAGACCCAGACAGTGCCCCAGGAAGCCATGCTAGCCCCCTACCAGGGCCTATCCCAAAAGCAGGGGCCAGGGAGGGGGCGACTTGCCTGCCCCTGAAGCCCCTGTCCCATTAGCCCCAGTTTGCATTCTGCGGGTTTTCCATTTTAGTGGATTTATGCTTTTATTTCAGAGAGACAGGAGTCTTCTCTGTCCGTTTCCAATAGTTAAAGCCATATCAGTTAGACTGCAATACTTTAAAGATGAGACAAAACAATCCATATGTTTAGGGAACCAGAACAGTCCCCTGGTCTGTCCCTTCTCTGGGGAGCAGGGCCTCAGCAGCTCCAGCTCCCTGGACATTCCATCCACCCCCACCCCCGCCCCCGCCCCCTCCCCTTGTGCCCCTCTGTGGGTTCCCCCCAGGGGACCATTGTCTGACCGTGCCTGTGTCTGTGATGGGGAGCCACCTCGCACCCCTGTTGTCTGCTTGTCTGTTTGTGTCTTTTATCCAGGCAGGATGGTCATTCTCAAGAGGCCTGGGGTTTCAGACCAGAGACAGACAGGGCCCAGTTCAGGGGCCCCAGACCTCCCTAAATCCTGTGTGAGTCCCACTTGGACATAGGTGTGGATACCAGTGTTGAGAGAGGTCTCCCCCTTGACAGGGACCCTCAGACCTTGAAGCTAATGCCAGGGCACAAAGTGATGCAGATGAGCAGGGGACCCAGCCATACAAGATACCCTAGGTGCACCTGAGGGACCCCAGGTCCTCAGATGGTGTCCCTGGTGGTCTCCACAGCCCCTCTGGATCCCCAGGGTGGGCTCAGGGCTTCTCAGCTCCACCTCGGTGCCCTCCAGGCTGGGCTGGCTTAGTCTGGGTGCACCTCCCAGACTCCTCCATTCTGCTCCCGGGCAGCAGGACTTGAGGTCTTTCTGGAGGCAGGGGTCAGGGAGAGAGTTTCTGCCTGGCATGCACCTGGCTCTACCCACTGCCAAGTGACCACCGTTGGGTCCAGGGAATAGAGTGACTCTCATTTCTGACAAAGACTTGACTGTGGGTAGAAGTCAATGGGTGGCCCAGAAAGGATGTCTGTCCAACCCACTAGTTGGGGGGGGCGGGCAAAATATGCATGGGGTGTTGCAGCAGGGGAAGGGAGGGTCACATAACATACCTGCAATGGGAGATGTGTGTGACCCACTTGATAGAAGGAACATGAGTGTGTCACACAGAAATGGGGCAGTGTAACACACTGAGTGGGGAAGGCCCCAGAATTCAGCATACATACATGACACCCAGGGAGACTAGGGAAGAGCAATCATTGGTAGGTGGTAAAAATGGACTGAGGCCAAGGGAGCATGCATGTGCTTGCAGGAAGGCGGCCCAGGCTCCTGTGGTCTGGGATTTACCACCAGGGAGAAGGAAAAGGGCTTCTCTGGATCTCCCCAGGCTGAGCTCTAGTGATGGACCAGGATTTCCAAATGTGGATGTCCCCTACTCTGCGCACAAAAGTGCCTGGAAGGTATGTCCTTAACTACAAAGCTTCATGAGGTGCTCCTTCAAATAGAAGCAAGAAGCTGAGAGGCCACCGAGGTGTATAAGACAAAGAGAAGCATTGCAGCCCAGGACCCTTCATAGGTGGTTCAGCCAGTTGGCAAAGCAGCAGTGGCTAGAGGGACATGGGGAGACTCCCCAGCCCTAAGAGCCCCCAAACATTCAGCTGTCAGGAGTTCCCAGCCCAACAGCCCACCTGTTCCATCCACAGGCTCCTGACTGCACAGGGAGGCTGGGAGTCAGACCGACTCCAATGGGGGATGTCTTCCAGGTCTTAAGACCTGCCTCCCACCAAATGTCCCCAGCTCCAGTCCCCACTCCTGTTGCCCCACCCTCTTCACTGGGGAGAGAATGGGAGGTGCTCATTGCTGGCCCTGGGGTGCGGGTGAGGAGTCCTACTGAGACCCAGGTGAGATGGACCATCCTGCTCACGCGGGGGAACCCCTTTCCTACATTTGTGCTGTGTCCTTGTTGCTCTGCTTCTTTTAAATGTGTCAGTGCCTAGGGGGAGGGGAGGGCCACTCCCTCATGCCCCCTTGAACCTGACCAAAAGCCATGGCTGTTGCTCCCCCCTTTGTATGATGCAAATGCTAAGATGTACAAAACCAACCATGACAAGAAAGAAAAAGACCTTGTACAGCAACAATGTGTCTGTCTATCTGCTCTGTCCATCAACACCACCAGGATTAAACAGAGGCACTGACTCACCATTGAGGAGAGACATCCCACAGAGCTCTAGAGGCCCCAGAAAAATCTTCCATTTAACCCATCTTCTGGCAAGGACATGATGGAAATGACTCCCAGAAATCAACTGAGACCAGTTGGGGCTGGCCCCAAAGTTCCAGGATCACTCACCTCCTTATGGCAACTCTAAACCCCAGAGGCCAGGTGGTTAGGCTGACCCCCATATCCCAACTCTCTCTACCCCCCCGAAAGCTCCTCAGGGTATGTCATTCTGAGAATACCACAAAGTCTCAGGTGGGCACAGATCTATAAATCAGTCATTCCACCAACATTGATGGAGCATCTACTCTCTGCCAGGCCATGGGTAAGAAGCTGGGGACGTACAGAGAGGGCTCTACTCAGCATTCCTCCTGGACACAGACACTTCCCAGGTCTTTTTGAGGAGTCAGGACCAGACCAGAGACCCCCTCCACTCTCGCACTCCCGTCAGTACCCCACCTGAAATTCTCAGCACTTCCCATTGCCAAGCACAGGGTCTCCCACATCCTGGCTACCCTCTTCCCTCCCACTCATCCTCTCCCTGTCTCCCAGCCCCTCCTAGGAGACTTACCAAAATGCAATCCCTGCACAACACCCTCCTATGCCTTGACATCTGCCTACAGGATAACATCTAAATGGTCAAAATGTTCCTGGGTGATGACCCCCAACCTAGGTCAGACCTTCACCCACCTCGATTTCAAGTGCCCTGAGTCACCCCACATACCATGCTGTATTGTGCTTGCATATCCTATCCCCTGTGCCCTGGATGAATGACACCTCCCCTTCCTTGGTATAACTCCTCAGACTTCTCAGGATCCAGCTCAAATATCATCTCCTCTGTGAGGTCCACCCTGATACAGTTCCTTGTCCCCAGAGCAGAGTCTTGCTGCGTTTACACAACACAGAACATCACAGCTGAGTGTTCTGGGCCACACACTACCACCAGAAGGATGATCTTGAACAAGTCACTTAACCTCTCCGAGTGTTTGCTCACAGGTAAATAGTATGGTAACAATTCCTCTGACCTCCGTGGCTGTTGTGAGAAGTAAACGGGGCCCTGCATACACATTCTTATCACTGAGTGCCAAGCATTCTGCGCATGGCTCTTTGCAAATTCCATTGTAAGTTGTATCACTGCGCATGTCTCCCTCCCTAACTTAAGAGCTCTATATGGGCAACACATACTTATTATCTCTCAATTTCTGG